CTCGGATACTTTGTTCATCTTCCGACTTTCAAAGCGCAGGAGTTATGATCAGTCGTCATTCTCCTCATCCACCGATCCCTCTCCCAGGAGTGGGTTCTTCGTGCCACCACTTGGCCTGTTGAAAGGCGAGTCCCTTCCAGTGTAGCAGAAGGCATCATAGACAACTCCCCCAGCGATTCCACCGGTGATGGCGGCAATCCATGGGGCCCAGAGCCAATAGCAACCGTTGTGAGTCCAGATCTCGTTGCCATAACCTACGAGCCAGAGGGCGATCCTGGGACCAGTGTCACGGGCGCCGTTCATGGCGTAACCCGTGTTGAATCCCAGAGAGGCTCCGATTCCAAGGAGGACGATGAACATTGCGAAGGGCATGGTCCCCTTGGGGGGTGAGAGGTTGCCTTTGTCCGAGAGCGCAAAGACGGCGGCGATGAGGGTGGCGCTGGCCAAGAATTCAGAGTAGTAAGCACTCTGCCATGGCAGATACGACGCCGGGAAGGTGAAGAAGAAGGGTGCGGTGGCATGGGGTCCCGCGATCGTTCGGATGGCTTCACCACCTTCGTAGATCGAGATCGAGTGCTTGTAATTGGCGTAGATGAGAAGGGAGGCGGCGGTGCATCCCAAAACCTGAGCGATGATGAAGCTCGGAATCTTTCGTGCGGGGAAGCCTCGGAAGATGGAGAGCACGATGGTGACGGTAGGGTTACAATGACCTCCCGAGATGCCTCCAGAGACCCAGACGGCAATGGCCACCCCAGCTGCCCAGGCGAACCTGCCCTGGAGGTAGGTGCCGTAAGCTCCCTTGTTATTCTCTCCGTAGTGGAGGTTGACTTGACACTCTACGCCGGCTCCGAAGAGAAGGATCATGAAGGCTCCCCAGAATTCGGCAAACTCCTCCCTCCATACGTGCCTGAACTTTGCCCAGGCGTTGGGCTCCGCGTCGTACTTGGACCATCGCGTCTTGTGGAGCCTGGTGGACTCGTTGGCGTGAATGGCCGTCGCGGGTAGGAGTGGCTCGGTCGTGTCAGGGTGGACCTCTTCCCTGCTGAGAGATTCCCTTCCTCTGGTCATTAGGGGGGGGAGAGAGAAGGAAGGCCTGAACCTTCTCTGGGATGGAAGACTGGCAGCGGAGCTTCTTCGGCCGTTTGTATCGTTCGCAAGCAGAGGGTTGCGCTCGGACATTCTGCTGGAAAAGAGAGTGAGTGTAGAAGTGGGTGTGCTGCGATTACACAAGCTTGTGTCTCCTTTTATCTGTATGCGGTTCTGCGGGAGGGGAGAGGGGGAGGGGGAGGGAAAGAATGACAGAAGGAGCAGAGGTAAGCTTCAAAGTTAGAAAAAGGGAAAAAAAAACGTTGAGCCTCAGTGGGCTTGGATAAAGTCAACGACGGGGAGGCCATCCCGACGCCATGCAACCTAGAGCTCGACCCCTCGAGAGGAGGCAATCTGGTGAGGAGCGTGACGATGAGCTGAGGAAACGGGGAACTCACCTGGAGATGGTGGGAGAAAGAAGGAAAGAAAGGGGCAGAAGAGGGAAAAGAGACTGGGAGTCGAACGAAGTGAAGGAAGTAGAGATAAAGAGACAAGGGGAGGGGGAGAGAGAGAGAGAGAGAGGGAGGGAGGGAGGGAGGGAGGGGGAGAGGGGGAGTGATTAGCAAGGAGAGAGGGAGAGATGAACGGAGATGGAGGATGGGGAGGAGCGGGAGAAGGAAGGAGAAGGGAGGAGGGAGGGTGAGGGGACAAAGGGAAGAGCAAAGTTTAGCGCTGCCTTGATGTAGCACTGGGTCTCTCCGTCTACGTCCACACATTCACACTCTAACTACCTTTCGTGTTTCTCACTACTTTGACTGAACGGGGTACCCCGTCGACGACTTTAGCCAACTGCCCATATCGTTAGCCTGACCGGAGAGCCTCTCTCTGCCAGAGGTGAAAGGATCAAGTATCACACTCATGACTGCGAGTGGTAAACGTTGTTGCAACTGCTGTTGTTGCTTTATGCCAAAAGATTAAAAAAGAAAAAGAAAACAAGAATGAAAACAAGTGAGGTATGTGAAAAAGAGGTCCTACAGAATTCTGAACGGAACGGTCAGTTCGGCAACTTGGACTCGGAGGGACGAGGCAAAATCTTATATCAAGCTGTCACACACCACACCCAAATCTGGCTGGCGTTTCCTTTTCTTTCTCGCCTCCTTTTCGTTTTCCCGAGCACAGACCCCAGGAGAGTCACTCGGCGAATAAAGAGACCAACACAACGCGCCTCGCAACAGAATGCCAACCTTATCGACAAGATCACAGAACTCCACGCGAGTTGTCATCACATCACATCACACTCACATCTAAACACGCATCTTGACCTACGTTCTGCCTCCCGATCCCGATCACCACCCGATTTGGACTCCAAAGTTTCCACATTTATTTTGAACGGCTCCTCGGCCACGAGCCTCCGTCATCATCACCAAAGCCCTCACAGGGTCAGGGTGGGTGTGACTTGAGTTGTGAATCTGTCATCATCATCCCAAGCTGGTGGCTCAAACACAATTTCCAACCACCCGTTCCTCTGCCACGCCCTCTTTCCTTCCACTCCCTCTCGTTCTCTCTCACCCACTCTCTCTCCCGCTTCCCTTCTCTCTCTTCTTCTCTTCTCTCCCTTCTCTTCACACAAACGAAACACCGAATCAAACACTCCCTCCCCCTTCCTTCCCCCTTCCTCTCGTCTCCTCCTCTATCCGTTCTCCTCAGCTTCACCAGCTCACTACAGTAGCTCCCTTCCTCTCGCTTCAACGCTCGGGATTCAAGTTTGGTCAACCACCCCCGATTTTTCTCTCGTCTGACTAGTCGCCTGACTTCCGAGTAACGTCTTCTACTCTTTCGGGCAGTTCTCTCCAAACGCAGTCAACGCTAAACCGACTTCCGCATCTCTTCCCTCGGGAAAACTCCTCCTCTCCTCATCCTCCCTCTCGCGAGTTGGGCTACTCGTTGTATCGGATATCCTGATCGCCCTCCACTCCTCCCTTTCCTCCTCCCCCTACTTTCTCCGCCTCCTCCAACACGAACATGTCTTCCTCAAGCTCGCACCCAGCCCCAGTTCTGTCAGGAGAAAGCGCCTCCCCTACATCCTCCCCTCAGCAACCGCCGCCTCAACTACACATTACGCCTCCACAAGTCGCCACCTCGTCCTCCAGAGCGCCACCTCCGGTCGCTGTGAAGAGGCCAACCCACTCGAGGAACAGGTCGGGCAGCATCGTAACCGTCGAGAGGGTCGAACAATCTCATGAAGAGCTGCTGGACCAGTCGGCAGGCTTCAACGCCAACGCCGACTGGGTCAACTACAAGGGTGCCTGGGTCATTCACATCGTCCTCATCCTCATCGCCAAGATCCTCATCGATGTCATCCCAGGTATGGAGCAGGACATCAGTTGGACCCTGGTAAACTTGGGCTACATGGCCCTATCCTACATCATGTTCCACTATGTCACCGGGACCCCTTTCGAATCCAACGCCGGAGCCTATGATCAGCTCACGCTGTGGGAGCAGATTGACGAAGGCGCCCAATACACGCCAGCCAAAAAGTGGTTGACGTCGGTGCCGATCGGCCTCTTCTTGATCTCGACCCACTACACGAAGTACAACCCCGGTCTCTTCGGTCTCAACTTTTGCGCCACCGTCTTTGTCCTCTTCCCCAAGCTCCCAATCCTCCACAGGTTGAGGTTCAAGATCCTACCTCAGGAGAGCCCTTACCCGAGTGCCCCACCAACCCCTACGCATTCCAGGACTCCAAACGCGAGCGAGATCAACCTTTGATCGGGATCCAGGGCTTGCCACAGTTACCTGGTTCAGACCTGGCTCCGAACCGGACTTCCTTCTCAATACGAACGCATCGTTCCCTCCGTCGATTCGACCATTCTCTCCGTTTCTCTCTCCCCCCCCTATTAAACAAGTCAAAGGGACCGTCAGGAACGAGGTGGATAAGCCTATCAAGGACAGGAGAGCTGAAAGAGCGGCGGGTCAAGACAGATTTAAAGTGAGGGAGCAGGTGGAATGGGGAACTTTGATAGATCATGGCCGTCCAACAGCATCGGTGTGCAGCTAGCGAAGCAATCTAATGAAGGAGGGGGGGGGGGGGGCTCACGCCTGCGTTGGCAGAAGACACTATAGGGTTTTTTGGGTGCGGCCGAAAAGTGGGGGTGGTGCGAGTCCTGGACTACGGCTAGCGCCCGCCCGTCGGCCCGTCCCATCCTCAGGCAAAGCAAGAGCATCAGAAGGTTGCGAAAGTACGCTCGACGGAGGGGTTTGGGGCAATCGGGGTCAGTTACTGGTTCCAACTGGAACAGATCCTAATAAATTACGATTTTACGTTTCATCTTGGATTTTTTTTCCGTCCACCTCTTCCTTCTCTTTCTTTTCTTTCGCTGTCCTTGGCCCCATGATGACCCCTTTCTTTCATTGTTTGTAAAAACTCGTTCGAAGCTGACGGAGCTTTCCGTCGAAATGAGTGAAGAGTGATGTGGGGGGACCCTTTTTGGAACGTGTATGACTTGGAGTGTCTACCATTCATCCTGGCATTGATCCTTAGGGTCATTCAAAGGAACAAAATCTCTCTGACTTTGAAGATTGCAAGTGGAGAAACATGCGTGAATGGATGGTCTGGTTTAGGAGTAGGGAAAAAGGCAGGAGGATATCAAGATCAGGTAAGCTCAAGCTCAGGAATTACAGGGAAGGTATTGGGGTTATGAAAGTGAATACAAGAAGCAGATTCTGAGACCTGCTGATTACTTGTCTTCTTCACAACATTCATTTATAACATTCATTTATAACATTCATTTATTACATGAGTAACAGATCAAGGGAGAGAGAGATTTTTTTTTTAAAAAAAAGACTAAACTCAGAGATAGAGAAGAAGCAATATAGAAATCAAGAATATCTCTCTAGAGTGTGCAAAGCAACTGTCTTGGAAAAAATAACCTGACAAAATCTACTGTAAAAACAAAAGATATGTAGATTAAAAATGGAGCATCTGGGGTTTGAACCCAGGGCCTCCTACTTTTCACTTTTCTTCCATTAGGGGGTGGATGCGAAGCAGGCGCTCTACCACTGAGCTAAAGCCCCCCTTTCAAGTAAGGCCTTACAGATTATCCTACTTCAAACTTAGAGTATCTGAGAACTTAGGATTGATTCAGAACTTACTAATCTCTTCAAAGAGAAAGCAGATCCTACCGAGGAATTTCTCTCATCATGGATCATCCTTCTTCTTCTTTTTGTTAGAGGTAAAATTTTTCTGGTTGAAATTGATGATACATTATTCAAAGAAGCAGAATAGAGATGTTGAGACAAGTTTATTATGTGACCCAAGTTGAGGTTGAAAGGCCCCTGCATGTAGCTTCATAGTTGGGTACTGCACCAATGTAAAAGAGTGGTACCAGATCACCACAGGTCATGGCTTCAAGCCTAAGCAAGAATCGAGCAACTGAATCAGAAGAAAGCATCTGAGACCGACAGAAGTCAAAGGTTGTTCCTATCACAACAACTTTGGATTCCAAAGTCATGGGATCGAGATCGGATCGTTCCAGCGGAGAGGACCGGCGATTTAAAGGAAGATCTGCGCGGTATGACGCACGAGTGGTGACTCGTGAGTCCACGTCGTTCGGAAACCCCCCAACACCCACCCCACTCACCTCCGCCTCGCTCAGTCAAGAATTATCGTATAACGCTCATCACTCTCGACTCTATCGACCACTTCACCTTCCCTCCATCACTCCAAAGACTATCCCTACATCACATCCCCTCCCCATAGACTTTCCATCCCAAGGTCAGTATCTCAACGAAGCTTCCTCTCACCAACACCACTGACCCTCTCTTCATGCTCAGGAAGCCAGAAGTAACGAATCCGCCCTTGCCCGCCCCTCTCCCTTTCCGCGAACCTCCTTCCCTTCCTCCATCCCCAACAGCCTTCCTGCAATCTCAAACCATCGCCCCTATAGATTTTTACTTGGCTCTTACTACTCCACCATCCTTGTGTTTGTCAAGACGCACTTGAAATGGCTCCCACAAGCAGAATTTACTTCACACGCCATTCCCAGGCCGAGCACGTGAGAAGTCGCTAGAAGTCTCGGTCACTGCACTGGGCATCCGAGAAGAATCAGCTCTCTCACCATTTTTCTTTCCTTTCCCGCCGCTCTCCTTTCTCCCTACCCTCACGCAGAATGTCGCGGACGACTACTCGATCCCTGACGCTCCACTGACAGAGTTGGGAAAGCGACAGTCAGCCAACCTCCCCAACCTCACCACCGAACTCCAGGAAAAGGTCGAGGTCATCCTCTCCTCCGGTCTCAAGCGGACTCTCCAATCCACCGCCATCGGTTACGCCCCGGCCATTAAGAGGCTTGGTATCGAGAACGTCGTCGTGCTACCTCAGTTGCAGGGTGAGTCTCCGACCCGGTCTTGAAAAAGAACAATCGGTATCCCTTCCCCTTTCCGAGGGTGCTCTTTGAAGTGACCGAAAGTGGCCGCGTGAGTGCGAAATGGGAACCCAGGCTCATTTTCCCTCCAACCGAAACGGCCGATGGAGAACAGAGTGCAACGCTTTCCCCTGCGACACGGGATCAGCGCGAGAGGTGCTCGAGGCCGATCCAGAGCTCAAAGGGTTCGACCTCTCCCTCCTCACACCGGATTGGACCAGCAAGAAAGGATTCTACGCCGCTGACCCAGAGTCGCTCAGCGCCAGGGCCCGATGGGTTAGGCAGTACATTCGATCTAGGCCGGAGAAGGAGATCGTCGTCATGGCTCACGGAGACGTCCTCAGAAGGATCACCGGCGAACACTACGTGAGTGGTATTCCATTGTCGTAGAAACTCAAAACTCCTCCCCCCACAACCACCTCACCACAATCAAAATCAAATGAAAGTGGAAAGAGGCTCGCTTGGATTGAGAAGGGTTTGGCTCACCACCATCGTACGTTCCCCTAACCCATCCTCTCCCACCTTACCGTTTCTGCCAAACGCACGGAAACGGCAAGCAGATGTGGAAAAACGCCGAGGTCAGACTCTTCCAGTTCGATCCTTCCAAGGTCGACACGGAAGATTGCCCCGTCCTCCCCGTCAAGAGCATCGCCGAGGGCGGTCTCCTGTCACCCACCTCGTCGTCTCACCTATTCGACTCCTCGGCACCGCTTGCCAACTGATACAAAGTTTCAGTCATAGAGAGGGAAGTGCCCGAGGGGAAGAGGGCACTGTTTTCACCACCTTTTCACTCAGAAGGAAGCATATCTTCTCAGGCGATCCTTTATCTAGACCTAGATGTTGTGTAGAAAGCATATTAAAGAATTACCCTTTCCACATTCGAAAGGCTTATCCACTTGGCCTGCTCACCTTGGCCCCCCTTCCCCTCTTAGTCTGGCTCAGCTCTGGTGCGACTCTGTCAGAACGTAACGAGAAGACTTGGTCGGATTCAAGATGGGAATCCGAGTATATGTTGTTGAGGTCTTGGACAGATGTTGGATCTCTCCCAGTTGAGAAGGGGAAAATGCCTCTCACCTTGTGGGAGAGATGGGCAAGGAGCATGGGAAGACGAGCCCTATCCACAGCCACAGAGGCGATTCGGCTATCCCCCCCCCCCCCCCCCCCCCCCCCACCACCCTACCAGTATTTAACGAGTAAGACCCATGTAAGGTGAGGAAGAGGCTGAGGGGCGAGGCAGAGTTTGGGGAAGCGAAAGCGGGGTAGGCCTTACTTTTAAAGACAGTCAGAGGAAGGGAGGAAGATGTGCGTGATCCCGCCTCTGTCTTTTCCCTAGCGCTCTCTCTCTCTCTCACTTGGCCAGGTTACCCAGACACTTCAAGAAGGAGGAGGGCGTGAGGATCTCGGTGGATCCGTACGTGATCCTCTTTCCGCTCGCTCCCCCAAGGCTGGCTCCGGTTGCTCCAAAGGTCCTGGCGGAGTACTCCATCAGGTTCGAGTACTCGACGTAGCCACCCCCTCCGACGACGAAGACGATCGCCTCGGAAAAGTTCTGCCTCTGGCCCTTGCTGGGACCTCCCGCTCCTCCTGACGCACCCGCCCCGGCACCAGCACCTCCCCTGCCTCGCGTCGACTTTGGGTCGAAGAGGAGGTAATCGTCCGTCTCCTGCAGCGCCTGGTTCGAAGCCGTCGAAGGCTCCATCAGCGAAGCCACCAGCCTCGTCACGGTCAGATCCTTCTGGGCCGGTAAAAAGTTCTTAACGCCCGCCACCAGGTTGTCCAGCCCACTGTCCTTGAGGCGGTCGGTCAGCTGTGGTGGTGTTGTGCATCGCGAAGGAGGGGGGGGGGAGGTAGGGTTTTAGTCAGACAGGATCCGCATGACCAGTGGCTGGTTGGTTCTGAGTTGGTTGACAGAGGGGCCCGTCCCACTCACCTTTCCCGTCAAGGAACTGAAACCTCGGAATAGTTCACCTCCACCAGAGGGCTGAGGAGCGGGAGCTGATGCCAGCATCGTCATCCTAGTCAGCTCTCTCACCCTGAAGGGATAGGGAGCAGAGAGGAGGGAAGAAGGTATTGATTGGGAAGGCCAAGGTCAGCAACGGCAATTACGTGGATCGTTCGGAAATCAAGATTGAGCCATCGACAACGAGAGGTTCTCACTGACTCGCATCCGTTTAAGGCAAACGAGAGACGAGAAACAAGGAGGAAGATTCCGGATTCTCACTTTTTGACGTATTGCAAAGCTGATAAGTCGGCTCCCTTCTCGGCGAGCACCTTTTCGAATTCCTCCAAGTCAGCTTTGGTGATCGCATTGTCCGGGGCGGAGAGGTAGTAGATGATGAAGAGCCGGAGCTTGTCCTCCACTGACTCGAGTGCCGGATCCTTTATCGTCTCCATGATCGTGTTCTTGTTCTGCCTCGTGATGGCTTCCTCCAGTTGGAACAGGGTGTCGAGGCCCCTCGTTTTGATTCCTTGTAGGAGACCGGTGGCAATGTTCATGTGGGCATCTATGGTCTGCTTCCTCGCTGTCAGTTCAGGCAGAGCCGTGATCGCGGCTTTGAGATGGGAGGCGTTGGAGGTCATGTCCAACTGCCCAACCTCGTCCATGCTGCTTATGCCCGTCGACCTGGTGATCTCGGCCGCGTCTACCTTGTACCTGTTCAGCTCGGCGTCAATGTCTTCGGCCACGTGAGGGAAGGGCGAGGCGGAATTCTTGGCCCAGAAGAAGTCCTTCGAGTCAAGATCGTAGGTCCTCTTGGTAGTGACACCACCTTGCTCGGTGCTTTGGACCGTCACCCTGTTGAGCTTGAGATCCAACACATCCTGAACCAGCGCTTGGTAGGTCCAAGAGTGGGCCAGCATGGGGACGAGGTCTACATTCCTGTCGAGGATGATGAGCAACGGTCTGGAACCACTCCAGGAGTTGATGCCTCCTTCGGCGAAGAGATGGGTAGCTCCCCTGGAACCGGTCATGTGCTCCCTCAACTTTCCATCCAGCTTTCTCGCCACCAACTCGGCTGCATTCCCTCTCGGACACCTGATGATGGGTAGAGATCCAATCGTGGCCAGAGCTGAGAAGAGGCCCTTGGCGATCCAATCCGTCTCCGCTTCGACTTCCTCCTGTCCGCTCCTTGGATCGTTGAGCCGCTCGTACGTGGTGTCCATCGTCGACCCATTCGCGGTTTGGGTCGCTGCGGCTTTGCTCTGCTGGATGGACGACGACAGAGGGGGTAGGAGCTCGAAAAGGTTTGGCTCGAGCACGATGAAGTCGAGGTACTGGTCGTAGACCTGCTGGATGAGATGGCCGGTACCGTCCCTGGCGACCAAGTTGGCGAGCTCCTCGAGGAGGGGCCGAGGTAGTGAAGAGGTAAAGTTGAGGTAGTAGCTCTCGTAGAGATTCTTGGCAAGATCCTGTGCGATCCTATTGATGTTCTCAATGGTGGGCGAGACGAAGTACACCGCGGGCACGTCTGGGAGAGGCGGTCTGTCGGAATGGAGCTGCATGTGTAAAGTGACGCCATTGTCCCTCAGATCCTGAACCCTGAGGCTGGTGGCGAGGATGTCCTTGCTTGCCTTGTCCATGACGAGGACCTTCCAGACGGGTGGGCCGGTAGGAACGTTGAGTGCGGGCTGGCCGGATGGGTCATCCTTTTG